GCGTTATAATATTATGGATAAATTTTTCCTATGCCCTTTGCCTTTCCTTTTAAAATAATTATAATTTTCACTAGTGACTTTTCCATTTATAAATAAATGGCAGGAAAAAATTTTGGTTCAATAGCATTTTTAATACTTTTTTATGTAGTTCTTCTAAATTATCAACCTACAAATTCTTATAATATTACCACATATAATGATAGTGAAGCTGGTCTTCGTGTATTTAATACATTATTTTATGGAGATGGTACCCTAGTTATTTATATGGTTAAACCTATTAATGAAACATGCATGGAACCAAAATTATATATTAGAGTTATTTATGCCAATGGAACAATAGAAACTTCCACCCAGATATATTTAATACCTGAATTCAATTTTTGCCAGGTCATCCAAAAGGATATGCTTACTGTAAGAATACATAGACTTCAACCAAATAATGCATTGATGCTTTATATGAATTCTACTGATATTAATTCATCAAGCACTTATGGAATATTGTTATCTAAAAATGGAGAAACCATTAGGTAAGATAATTCTAATAAATAATAAATATATAATAAACACTTTTGATCAAATTTAAATTTATACAAAAAAAAAAAAATAGTGAATTTTATATGGAAAGATCAACTTTTTACAAGGGTTTATTTGATGGACCACATCTTTATATTGAAGGAGCTTTTGGTGTAGGATTCTTATTATATGGTCTTGAGACAGATTCAAATGATCTTCTATGGAGTCATTTTAGTTCACCGTAATTATTATTTATATTATAATAATATTAATATTTAAATTTAATTAAATATTTTACAATACCAAAATTACTTAGAGATAAAAATGGAATAATTAATAAAACAAAAACTGGAAAGTTCTCTCAAGCACCAATTGAAAAAGGTGGTGATGTATTACGTTATTCTAGTTTTCCAGCTTTGAATAATGGATTTGGACTTGTTATGGCTAACACAACTAAAGTTAACAACAATACAAAAAATATTAAACCAAATCAACCACCAATTTCTATTTATGCATCATTAATATATCCTGGTGAGGATGATAACAATGAAGTAGTTGGACCATTTTTGATATATCAAACTGCTGATATTGATGTGACTATTAAATATTTAATATGTTCTACATCACTCACAAGCTCAGGATACACATGTATTGTTAGTTTATCTAAAGTTGGAAAAAATAAAAAACCTAAAGTTTATTGGATGAAAATTTCATTTTTATCAAATGGGTAGGTTTTTTTATTCAATATATAATACAAATATCATTATTATACAATACTATTATCTTAATTAATATTATTATTTATTAGTGCTGTTACAGGAATTGGGCCATTAGAATTTGATCAAATTCAAAATTTTACCGATGTGTCAATAAATAACCTATTTTTTGGTGGTTTTTTATTAAATATTAATGCACCAAGTGAAACATATGAAAATAAATACACAACTTATGGTTATATATTAGATAACGATTTGAAGATAAACTCAACATTAGAACTTCCTAACAATTTGACACTTCCATCATTTAGTCAAAAATTAGAACTTCCGTCAAATAATAGAAATTATGGGACCTTTACTCAGAATAATACATTTATTGCTATTATACCCAATGAAAATGATAATAAAAGTTGGGACTTAATTTCAACTG